GCCTTATCGTAGATGGGAGGTGTTTCTGGGTGTCGGACTGCAATGTACAACTAGGGATTCATCCCCTGGCACGGTCTCCCAAGCAGAGAAGGATTCTGGCGCCTCCATCAGGAAGCGTAGCTAAAAGTGAACCAATACCAGAATCCACCACCTTCCTGGTGTCAAGGTCTCATGGTGGCAAATCTTCTTTTGATCCATAAGGGTTGCGACTGCCTGTACTGATGAAGACCTGTGGCAGGCCTTGGCCAGGCCGACCTCGGGACTCCAGGCAACTACATTGGCTACAACTAGCCAGCAAATCTCCGAAAAATGGAGATTATGCTGGGGTTTGAACAAGCAGTGAGGACGGGCCTCCAAGTATCAAGTAACAAGTATTGGAGCGTTCGACCTAGTAAATTACATATTAGTGTACCCTTCCAGGATCTAAAGATGGCGATACTGCCGAAACGTCACCTACTGCTGTATTGTATTGTGTATTTTTCTGTGGTAGCAAATATTTGCTGTATAAAAACTTCGCGATTGCTCACAAGAAAACGACGCATTTATCTCATTTAGCTCTTCGTCGATGAGAGCTGTCTGATATAAAAAGCACATGTACACACCTGTAAGCCTGATATACATATACATACATGTTATATTTATATACGTTATATTTGTTATATATACTTTACATAAATATGTATGTATACATATTCCGAATTTGTTTGAAATCCGTTTTCGTCATTTTTCCTCAATCTTTCCATGGCGTTCTTGCGGATAATTTTTTCTTCATTTCAAAATTCATGCCTCGCCCAATTCAATGATGATGACATAGAGTTTAGATTAGATGTCTGCACTACTTCAGTCGCTGCGCGACCGAAGTTATTCGACTGTGATTGAGTGGTTTTGCCTTTGAAGACTGTGTTTGCTATCCTTTTATGGGAATCGTTTGCGCATATTACTGTGTGCAGATCTTCGCCGGCTCAGCAGTACCTCGTGTGCAGTTTTCGTCACTCAGTCTCACTTCTTCTACACGAAATGTCTCCACTCTGTTTCCTTTTCTCATCACCAATTTCGAGCTTCCCTTGTCAGATTTGACAACCAGTAATTCGAGTGGAAAAAGCTGCCTAGGTCATCTTTCCTACAAAATTAAAACACTTCAACAGCAACATGACAATAACGTTTTCCACTTCACTGTACCTTCCACTTAAAGCGACACTAAAATAGAACTGTTGACAGTTTTAAACTAATTGTGTTCGTCAACTAACTTGTTTTCACGAACTTGACAGGGAAAATATACAAGCGATGGTGGCAGGAAAGCGGATCACCAAACATCCTTTTTTCTTTTCGCTTTGAGATACACCTTTAAAATGAACGAAGACCTCTATCGATATTCTACTCGGTCTTGAAAATCAGTAGATTGTCACGTGTCACCCGCATCATCTTTTCCGCTTCTTGATCTTCAGATGGCTCGAGCGGGCACCACTAAATTTCCCATTTGTGCCCCTTGAGTGCAGCACTATCCCAATGGATTCTACTTGTTCTAGGGACTCGTTCAACATCATATCACCTAGGATCTTCGTTAAGTGCTCTTACTACGGAGTAGGTGGCGTTCGAACTGTGAATTTGACACACAGAGGAATCCAGCAGCTATCTGCTCTTCTTCATCAGCTGTTCTTCACACATGTCATCTATCTCCTCTACTGGATTTTCGACATTTTTATGTGCAAACGGCTTTTTTAACTTCTAAGAGTCGATCTATATTAAAACATTATATTCCCTCTCTTAGTTCCGTGATACAGGGTACTTTTAGCATTGTCCTTTCACTATGCATTGTTTAACGCTGGGTGAACTTCCACCCAACTTACCTAGTGATCATCTTTCCAAAACATAGGTTAACCCAGAATAAATCGTTGACTCGAAAAGCAGGCAAGGAATGACATGTTGTTTGTTCTTTTTTCACTTCATTCTCAATGCACTTGAAAGCTCGCCAAATCCTCGTTTCTTCCTCAGAACTCTGTGGCCAACCTTTCCATCATGTTGACTTCCCGATGCAGATATGCAAAGCTGAAGTATTTAGATAAGTTTCTTCGTTGTGTGTGAATAAGAAATAAAAAACGAATCCGTTTTTCATTGACATCGTTTTTGTTTTATTTAGTCAGATAACAACCATTCCTTAAGTGTTTTCGAAGCAGCAGGCCGACGTTCGTTTGGCCAAGATAATGTGTGTTGCTGTAGAAACGATATTATTAACAACGCGAATATTGTTTGGCTGGTGACCATCGACTTCTACTCCCATATTCTTCGATTCTAGATTTCGGAATTTTTTTGGAGATAGCTGTAAGTAATTTTGGTAAGATTGTATGGTTCCGGTTGTGCAGTTTTTATACAGTTAAAGAAATATCTAGCTCTCTATAATGAGAAGCGACGCTGTGGCTCTCCACTTTTTCAAGTCGACGAAAGCGAGTCTCTTGTACTCTAGCAATGCTTCGTTGAGCCATGTTGGATGCTGTGGATATGGTCTGTCGTACTGAATCCTTTTCTAGACTCTCCTTATCTACATAGGTGTCCGTCGTCCAGTATTCTGTAAATCCTGCTCAGCGGTTACTCGAGTGAAAGCTTGCAGACGGCAGGCAGCAGATTGGGCGATAAGTTCCATTATCGTGGATATCACCCTCCTTGAACAATAACACCATCTCACCGGTCTTACACTAAATAGGAACCATGCATTTTAAAAGGTAACATGTGGAGAGTTGAGCCAGTGTGTTTATGAGGACTAACGGAAAGTTCTTCAGCTATTCAGGTCTCATCCTTTCCAGACCTGGTGTCGGTCAATTCTTCACCGACGAAGTAGTATGACGGATTTCGGGCGGATGAATCGGTAAAGCGATATGCCCATTTTTTCTTATTTCGGATAAGAGCAGGAAGACGTGGCTATTAAAAAAAATCCGAGCAGTAATCGTGAATAATTTTTTCCATTGTCTTTCTCTAAGTTGTAAATGTTCCGTCTGGACCTCGGAGTGCAATCACGTTGATTTTGTAATTGGCGAAGCTTCAGAGCCTTTGCTAGTGCTTTTTCTAATCTCTGCATCTTTGACCATAGTTGCCGCTCTCTCTCTCTCTCATTCAGATCAACTCTCACCATCTTTCTGTTTTGTTTTGCGAGTCGAGTGTGTCTGGAGAGAGATCTCCTTTGGGGAGTTTAGAAATTCCGGTTCCCATAGCGGTAATGTGAAGATGTTGAATAGGTCTGTCATATTCCTAGGCGATGTTGTCAATAACGGCACCTTTCCTAAAGCCTACTAATGATCCAGATAAATCCCGGTCTGTGGCCGTTTTGAGGCCTTGTTTTTGAACTAGTCGGCTTTTTGCAAGACTGCAGATAAGCAGGCGTTTGTGGTGAGGAACGAACACGCTGTTACGCTTTCGCGGGCTATCGTGCTCACCGCCACACACCATGCTGTCCCTTCGTTTCGCCTTTCTCTCGGCCGTGTTTTATAGGTGCTATACACACCAAACACAGCTGACAGAAGGAGGGAAACGGGGGATTCACATGGTGTGGTAGTGAACGTGTTAGCCTCCGGAAAGGGCATTAGATTGTTCGCTCCCCACTGCAAACACCTGCGGTCCGGAGTTTTGCAAACATCTCAGCATCGTTGTGATCATATTTAACATCACACCCTGCTATGAAAAAAACTGGCGACTAAAAATTGATTACATTCTTCTCACCTTCTTCTCCTTTTCGCGAGAAATCAAACCTTGCACGAAGGAGGCAGTGGTCTGATCCTGTATAATGATTTGTCACAATAGCGACATCGATTAGACAAGACTTTCTATTTACTATGATATGATCTATTTCGTTATGGTTTTCTCCATTGGAAGACTCCCATGTCCAGCTCTTAGAATGCATTTCCTGGAATTGTGAATTATCATGGATGGTCGCGGTTCTTATAATAAACTCAGATAAAGCTGGCTATGTTCGTTCCTTTCTAATCCGTAGTCCCAATGTGACGTTCTTGTAGGCTCAATCTTAGTTTTAAGTCGCAAGTGATGACATTAGAGAATGTATGGTTTTCTATGGACGACTTCGTCAAGTCGAGGTAGATCACTTCAACTTTGTCGTTTCTGCAGCTTGATTTGCATGCTTAAGCGACGAACAACGTCAAAACCAGTGTTGTTTCATATATCTTCAACCGTAAGCTCCCGATTTGAGTTTCTAGTCGCTCCAATGAATCCGCGTTCATGGCCAAACTCGCGGTGACGAGAACGCCGGCTGTGTTTTTAGGAACAGTTCTTCTCCGATATCATAGATAGCATTTCATGGGCTGTGTTTTCTCATCTCAGCTAATTCGATGCCGTCGCATCTTATCCTTTCCGGCTACATCGTCTTGTCCTCTTGGAAGGGAACTCGGACTTAAATGAACGAGCATTATTAGTACAACTCATCACTGTAGTGTCTACCATGCTTAGCAGTCTAGAATGGCCTTAAGATTTCACCAGACCCTCCGTACTCGTTCCAACGCTGCCTTATCGGTGCACTTTCGGAAACAGGAAATTGGGCCCATCTACTTTATTCCGCTTGGCTCTTTAATGTGAGTTGTGGCGAGGTGTGGCGGAAGGATTTTCATTCTTAAAATCGCAAAACTAAATCCGTTATTATGTTTAACGTTTTGTTTTCTGCCTTCTATAATTTTTATGGCAGGTTACTAAGCGAAATACAACCACAACGTTGCTGAGATATTTGCAAAACTCTGGACCGCAGGTGTCTATGGTGGGGAACGAACGCGCTATTATTCTTTCCGGGGAGTAACGCGTTCACCACCACACCATGCGGGTCCTTTGTCTCGCACGTCTCTCAGCTATTTCTAAATCCGTTACTTGTTAAAGTTATAAAAAAATGATATAGAACTGACGAAAGCTAGCAAGAATTTTACTTATTAAAGTGGCTTTATTACAGTAACATAGAGCGCATTCGTGAAGGAGTTGGAGACAAATTAGGACTCGTCATTCGTGGGTTTACTATGTTCGTTGCTGCACTCATACTCTCGTTCTCCACGGAATGGAGATTAGCGCTTTTCATGTCACCAGTGGCTCCACTATCGTGCCTCTGCATGAGCATTATGTCAAGGGTAGGCTATACTACTCTAAATTGTTGCTTCTGCAAATTTTATTGATGAAGCAAGTTATGGTTTAAATAGAGCACTGTTTCTTAGAACTCACAACTACGTTTCGCACTTTTTCTCGAATTTAAGAAAATCTCTGAGTCGACTTCTAAAGAGCTCAAAGACATTGGAAGAGCTGGAGCAATCGCTGAAGAATCAGTACTAGGTGTTCGCACAGTACAGGCACTTAATGGACAAGAAGAAATGGTGGCAAGGTGTGACATAGGTATTTTCATAGTTCACAGTTTAAAAACCAAATATGTCACAGATACTGCCAACAACTAGAAAAAGGCACTGGTCACGCATCAAGCAAAACCTTCTGGAGTGGATTATGGGGTGGAATTTTCTATGTTGTCCTCTTCATTTTCATTGGATCCGGTTTTCTGTAAGAATTTGGTTGATTCTCTTCTATTTCGTAATCGTGTGACATTTTGAAAATAAGGAATTGGAAGCAAATCTTTGGTAATGGAAATTTTCAAACACACAAACAATCAGAATGAAAAGCGAAGATAAAATTTGAAAAAGTCGTAACAGGACCATTACACTCTGTGGATGAGTCCAGTGTATTAAAGGTCTATAAGGATTACAGTTTTATGTTTAAAAAATTGAGCTAGCTATGTTTAAGCAGGGCTGTTTTTTATAAAAGCTGTCTTTGTTTTTTTTGACATAGTCGTGGCTAAGTGTGATTAGAGAACCACAAAGATGCTGAGATGTGAGCAAAACCCGGGAACCTCCGGTGGACTTCGAACCTGCGACTACACTTTCCAGGGACCCACGTGTTATCCAAAACACCAACCGAGGAACCTAATTTGCCTTTCTTCCAGCCATTTTTTTCTACTCTAAGTGATTCCAACTAGTTCTTCCAGATCCTTCTTTTTGATGGGTGATTGATGGGTACTCATATCACGCTTAAGGTAAAAAAACAACTAGCAGAGAGGAAGACAACGAAGGTTTTCAGCTGCTGTGTTGGATAGCGCGTGAGCCCCCGGAAAGGTTCTGAAGCCTAAATGATGCTCCGGGTTTTGCTCACATCTCAGCATCTTTGTGGTCGTAGTGCACATAATACAATACTGTGAAAAAAGATAGGCAATAAACAAAATTTAAGGCATTATAATTGGATTCCTAACCTTTTTCTTCTTTCTATCTTCGCATAACTGGCTTCCCACATCAATAAATAAGTGAGGGTATACAAGCTTTCTTGTCTGACTGCTACTACTTCTTCCACTTAGCACAGATGTATAATTGAAAGCTTCAATGGTTTCGAAAGACATGGTATTCATTGAGAAATCCATTTTGCGGGTATGTGTTAAAAATCTGTTTCTTTCCAAAAACAAATGAATCCATTTTCGAAATTCTTCAGTAAAAATGATGCCATTTAACTACTTCTACTAATATCGGATTGATTTCTTTAGGACAATACAGGTACACCTGCCTCTTATTTCGCACAGTTTGTATAGAATCATGCTATCTTCGTGTGAGCCTTCAACTGACACAATTTCTTGCTTTGTTCATAAATCAAAGAGTGAATTTTCGCGAAGTTAAACGCACTCTTTTAGGTTTGGAGGCCATCTTCTCCAAGTAGGAGTTATTCAAACAACAGGCGACGTGGTTATAGTAGTTATTTCCATGATGTTAGGAGCATACTTCCTGGGTTTAATTTCGCCTCATCTCATGGTTTTACTGAACGCGCGAGTTTCAGCAGCGGTCATCTATGACACGATTGACAGAGTAAGGACAGATAGCGTCATAAATTTCATGCTACATTGTATTAAAACCACGGATTTGGAACATCATTACCCACAGCCATTGCTTTGCTATATGAAGAATTCACAACCTATTTTCAAGAAATCATTGAAGAAAATCTTCCTTCATTGCAGGAACCCCACATTGATGTCTATTCAACAAAGGGAAAAATTCCAATGGATATACAAGGTGATATTGAATTCGACAACGTTCATTTTTGTTATCCAACAAGGAAGGACATCAAAGTACGCCCAACTTTCCTCGAACAAGTCCTTATGGACTGGAAACACCATGTTTTAGCGAAAGAGGAGTTGCTGAACGAAACCCAAATAAATCCGACATTGGAAAAACAACTTTACTATTACCTAGGTACTTAACGGTATCAGCTTAAAAATACATGCTGGTGAAACGGTGGCCTTTGTTGGGCACAGTGGATGTGGGAAATCAACTGCTGTTGGCCTCATTACGAGGCTCTATGAAGCTGAATCTGGAACAGTGAGTGATGTACTCTTCAATATATTGAAGAAAACCGTTGAAATTATTTGTAGGTTATCACTGAGATTTATCAGGTCTTGTTCTTTAGTTGATTCTTGCGTTTTTGAGCGATTTAATCATATTCGTTAATGAATAAATGGAATTTTTATCCACGCTGTTTTCTTGGAGTGCAGGTGACAAAAAATAATGGTGTTAGCCTATTAGAATTTATAACGCAACTATTATGTGCGAATTGCCTAGACTTGTTTTCGAGAATACGAAATGAACGTTGCATTAGGAAACTCATGTCAGGTAATCAAGAACCCAGTAACTCACAGCTGCATCTGGTCCATAAATATTGAATAATGCTCAGATTTTGTACAAATCGCTTACGAGTCCGCATAACCATTAGTTCTGTGCAATTCGGTAATATCTACCTGAAATAAATCTAGGTAAAAATTGGTGGTTACGACGTTCGAGATGTAAATTTGGAGTGGCTCCGTAACGCTGTTGGCATCGTTCAGCAAGAGCCGACGCTTTTCAGTGGTACTATTGAGGTAAGAAGATATAGCAGTTGATGTTTAAATTCACATAGCAATAATTATTTTTATATCAGGAAAATGTGAAAGTCGGCAATCCAGCGATTACAACATCGGAAATTATAGAAGTGTGTAAAGTAGCTAATGCCCACGAATTCATTACAAAACTTCCAAAGGTAACAAGTATTAAGTGCAAAAATTGTCTAACATCCTGTAAAAAAACAGTTCTTAGGGTTATTCCACGGTTATTGGCGAAGGAGCTGTGCAGTTATCTGGTGGTCAGAAGCAACGGATTGCGATCGCTCGCACGTTAGCTCGAAACCCACAAATTCTTCTTCTTGATGAGGCCACATCTGCGCTCGACGCAAATAGTGAGAGTATTGTCCAGGTGAGATTTACGAATTTACATTATTTATCTGATATAATTCATCTCTATCACCGGTTCACGTTAACGATCGATTGATTAGAGTGGATGCCACCAGTTTCCATTCATTTTTGTCCTGTGCGGTAAAACTTCTAGTATGTTCACCTTCCAAGTGGAATGACTACAGTTCTCATTCAGCCTCTTTCTATACAAACATAACCACTGGGTCAGCGCTCGCTATGCTGTGAGATTCCTATCTATTTTACTTAAACGATATCCATAAATGGATAGTGGGAAAAACATTCGTCAAGTTGAGCATGAGTGGCACCAAAAACAAATCCGTTTCCTTTGAATATCGTCCTTACGGAATTAGGATGGATATTCCTGCGACGCCGCGGAAAGCTGCGACCATTTGTCTCGTATCTGAATCACAACGTTCTAAACAAGAAAGTATTATGATCAAGGAGAAGATGGACTATTGTCAATCACTAGCTTCCACGTATGCTTTCCGAATGCGTTTTGCGCAATTTGGCGAGATTATATCGCTTTCTCAAACTGCACACGTTTATTCACGTTCATAATACAGACCGTAGTTGTAGAACGGCGAAATTTTGGTTGTAAAGTTAAAGTATACTCGTAAAAAATATTTGTGTACTGAGTACGGACGCCGTGGTTGTCTAGGCGGATATTCTCGCTTTTTTATCACCTGTAAAAAAGCGCATGTCGTAGAATGGAAAAGGAAATCGTAATGACGACGTATCCGTGATAAACGAAATGTATGAAAGCAGGAGAACATGAATTCTGAAAAGACCGAAGTAGAATTCAAAGCTAACCTTTACTGATCTCATTAGATCTAGACAATGTTTTGACCGGAGGCCAGACAGCGGTCTTATCCGCAAAGTAATCGATTAGTATGCTTTTTGTTACAAAGCTTTGTAAAGACAGCCACAAATTAGTTGTTGCCTCCCATCCACGCAGCTTTGAAGGCAGACGTCTTTGAAAGATGGTATAAATTAGCCGACTGCAATTCATCTGAGTGATCGGTCACGATCTCAAAGATGGCAAAAATGGGTTAGAACGACAAAAAACTCAAATTTTGACGGATCCTTAATGTCTGCTTGTTGTCTCTCAATGTTTCTTGAATCCTTAATTTATAACCTGATTCGCACCACGTTTCCTCATAAGTACTTGGTTTTCACTCCATTGAACTATGCACAATTTTATTGGAAGAGTTTAAGTAACTAGAAGTAATATTCAAAGAAAGCTCTTGACTCCGCGTCTGAAGGAAGAACTACAATTGTGATTGCACATCGTCTGTCCACTATACGTAAAGCTAGCAAAATCATGGTATTCGAAAAAGGAAAAATTATAGAACAAGGTACGACGATTAGGAACAACGTATTCATTAAAACTAAGAGTTGAAATTAATAAAGCTAAATGACTTCAGGAACTCACGAAGAACTCGTCGATCTAGACGGGCGCTACGCTAAGTTGGTAAGAGCGCAGCAGTTTCAACCAGAGGACGATGATGACTTCGAACCTCTGAACACACAAGATGATGAGTAAGCCATTAAGAGACCAAGTTATGAACACATATCTTTTCTCGATGTGTTAGCGACAACGTTACCTTTTCATAATTAGTGAGGATATAGAAGGAGAAGTATGTCGTAAGAATTCCGAAACTCCTTCAATTGGAGCAGATGTGTTCATCAGAGGACTAGTGTCCGGACAATCCACCAGGTACCGAATTAGCTTTGCAAGCAACCCGCTGCTAAATGCAATTTTTGTAGAAGCAGCTTTATGGTGTCGAGTGGTGAACAAGTTATGATGGCAGTAGAGAGCACACAGTTTGAGCGGCAAGTAAAAGCTGAAATGGAGGAGGTTAGAAAAATTCGAGTCAATATTGATAATTTTTATATTAGTGAGCAGAGTTTCCGTGGTGTTGAAAAATCTCATTATTATAACCGGACTTTTGGCGGGATTTGACGCCGCAGTGGGTCAAATGTACACAACATGGTTATTTTACGTGAGCTGTATCTTCGAAAACAGCGAAGCAGATAAATCCTTACGCATTATAGTATTTGATCGTTCGTTTCTATCCGGTTTCTACTATTCAGACTAAACGGCGACAGTCCCACTGGATGCTTCAGTTACCTCTATCTAGATCGGGAAATCAATATGATGAACAACTTATCTATAGAGTTGGGCAGGAGGAGGCGAATGACTTGAGAAGCTTCCGAGAGCATCAAGGATCAATTGAAGAAAACAAGGAACACGTGAAGCCCTGCCCACCTTTTCGAGCCCACGATCCTTCCTGCCTCAACGTATGCGTCAGAAATCTGCTCACTGCGTAAGCAGGATGGAGGACCACTCATCATCATTATACGCGCATTCGAAAGGACAATGCCTCACGAGGATTCCACATCACGAAAGTGAAGGTAGGAATCCGAGTCCGACACGCAATGCGTATGAACAACATCCGATGCACAAGAACCGTTAGCGACTGGATTCCTGGCGATGTCAAACGCACAGTAGCAATACACTGAGCCAATAGTCAGAGTTCTTCAAGAAGGAGCTAGAAGGAAAACATGATGATCAACGAGTCTATAGAGCAAGCAGAACCGACTGGGATACCCATGCACGCGGCCGGGAGAAATGCAAGATTTACTAATGCCCCTACAAGTCACTCAAGGATCAACGGGATGACAGGTGGCAAGTGATCCGGTTATAGTCGTCATCATTTGACATAAAAGAGAGCTGAGCCAATCGTCCCAGAAGGCACTGATGTATTGCTAGCTCGGAAATTTGGTCATTGAGAGGCCACGATGGAGCGCTTCCAGCCTATGGTGCCGTCCAACTATCATACTTTGGGAAAAACTTTTTACAACAGAAAAATTCACATTAGTTGAAAAAATCATGATGAAAGAGTCGTGGCAGTAATATATCGTCAATCAGATCTTAAAAAATCGAACCCGAATGGAGAAAGCGTAACAAAGTATTAAAACGATACAGATAAAGTTAACTTCTTTTAAGCTTATGTAAATTACAATTTAATAGTACCATGTTTCACTCATAAATTAAGGATGGACAAATCAAAGCTGGTTTAACGACCATCTTCCGAAACGCCGAAGGGCAATACTGCAAGTTGGCACTAGCCGTGACCTGCGCGATATTTCGAGGTTTTGAACTGCCGGCGATGGCTTTCGCTTATTCAATGGTTGTGATTCAAGGCAATGAATTGTAAACTACATTATAACAATGAAAGCACTTTCTACTTTCAAGGTATTCAAAGCAATAAGATATTACGAGACGGACACATCAATTATGATGTCAAGTTTGATCATTTGCTTTGTCACCTACATCTGCATTGGTATCGGAACGTTTATCTTCCACTTCATTGCTGTAAGTAAAATAACTAGTATCTAGAGATTTCAATACCGTGGTTTAAAACGCGAATAACTTCAGAATATGTTGTTTGGAAGTCTTTCCGAAGAAATTACACTATCATTCCGTGTAAAGGCGTTTCGAAATATTTTGTATCAAGTGAGTATTTTTATTTCTTGTACACAAGGAATAATATAACAACCACCTGGTTTAAAAGTTGACTTTCATAATATAAATTTTTTTCGTGGAAAATCGTTTGGTCATTTCGTAACTGTGAAACCCTCTTTTAGAATTGAGAACTACAGTTTAGTACAAAGCATTGTAATTTGCACACGTGAAACTACTTTGAAAAATTCGACACGGAGCTAAAATATAGCATGTCTTTGGCAGGATCGTTAAGTTTAGGTGAAATAGATGAAATAACTAACCAACACCGCACCTCAAACATAGAGAATAAAAGAGTGATGGAGTAATACTGCATCTAAAACTCCAATGCTCTACTATAGATTTTTAGGACGCCGCCTACTTCGACAATCCCGACCATGCACCTGGTCGTCTCATTACCAGACTAGCAACAGACGCCCCTAATGTCAAGGCTGTATGACATCACTACACAGTAATATGCAAATTTTTATTCATAAATAAGCAAAACATCTTCGACAGGTTGTGGACAGTCGTATGATGTTTGTAATTTTCAATTCGACGGCATGGGTGGTTTGTATAATCTTATCGTTGAACTCATCATGGCATATCGGAGTAATGGGAATAGTTTTCAGGTCTTCTTTCTTTCGAATCTTGATATAACAATTTTTCTAATATGTGCAAGACATAATTGCATAGTGGAGATCTCATTTCAGTATTCTATTGGGAATAATCATGGTGTTATTAGCTCGCACTATTCAGGCAAAAAATCTGCAAATGATAAAGGAAAATCAAGCCGACAAGGTCGTTTAACTTCTACGTCTTTTAGTCATTTAATCAAGGCTAACTTAAAATGTAACGGAGTTTCAGTTATCCATCGAGATCATAGAGAATGTTCGTACTGTACAACTGCTCACTCGTGAGAAACATTTTTATGAAAAATACATGGAAGCGTTGAAACAACAAAAAAAGAAGGAGCTTGAAAAAGGCTACTATGAGGGTAAGTGATTACGTTTCTGTGCTATTCAACCACTGAGCTACCAAGACACTTCAAATTTAGGTGCAAATTTCGCTCTATCACAAACGTTTATTTGTTTCTCGCTAGCATGCGCATTTTCCATTGGTATACCTCTTATTACTCGCTGGCAATTCGATTCTGAACAAATTTACAGGTGAGGAATCGAAAAAACACTCATTTGAAGAAAATACGGCTCTTAATACTCAAGCCCAACTCTTTCTTAGTCCCGGAATTAATCTATAATTCGCCCTTTTCTTAATAATCTTTACCCACAGAAGCTGACCTTTGTTTTTTTTCGAAACGTTAGCTGTCGAGGATAAATAAGTAGTGGAGTAACAACTTTGTGTGTGCTTGTCAAAAAAAAAACAGCGAACTGCAGTTTCTAATGCTCCGTTTATTAACACACTGGCGACGATTCATATGTTTTGATCCACAGCGGCCAACACGAGTCATATATAACTCATTTATTTTCTGTTGTTTATTTTCTGCATAGAGCTTCCTGTTTTTCTTTGTGCATTACTATTTCCGTTGTCGACCCTTGCTCTCAGGATATGCTATAGTGAAATTCACTTTCAAAACGATCAAAGTGAAGTATAATGTTCCCTAAACAACTGTTTAAACCAGACTGCTTTACAGAGCAGTGTTCTCCGTTCTTCTGGCATGCATAGGAGTGATGAATTGTTCAACGTTTTTCCCAGAATTCACAAAGGCCCGAACAGCTGCCGGGATGATGTTCAATATGATTAATCGCCGTCCAAAAACCGGTGATATTAACCAGGGAATGCAAATAGTGAGAGAATTTTTCAATAATTCATTAACTGCTTAGTGCTAGCAGGCTTAGCTTTACAATTTCTACAGTGATGCAACTTTGTTTTAAGAGTACAACACGTAACGAAGCATAAGTGGAAGACATTTGCTACAGTTTTCAATGTGGATTTGCATTAAAGTGTTTAACGCGTTTTATGGAATTCCAAAAGAAAAAACTTTATGATTTTATCCGGGGTTTAGTGAGAAATTTAGCCCGAAATTTAGATACCGAACTTTAATGTCCAAAAGCTGGTAGAACTCCACTGAGATGTGTATAAATACAAGCAATGATACTCGTCGCGCATAACATTAATGTCGATGTCTTTGTGTGGGCGTCATAGTCTCGACAGCAACTGTTTTACATTTTTAGATGAAACGCTGTGGAAGACATATCCTCCTACAGTAGGATTTCGAGATTAACTCTTCATAAATGGTTTCTTCTGAATACATCGTACATTACAGAGATGGCCACCTCTTGGATACGCCAGGGTGGTAAGGAACGTAATCAAGATCGCCGTAGTTGTCTCGCAACATTACTACGGCAGAAATATTTGCACCATCCCTGATTAATACGTGGATCACTTTTATTACCTATCCTCTCATTTATTCTTGAGTGACCCGTAACATAGTTCCATAATAATCCAGACTCGTAGTCACATTTATGTGCATGACATACGTTCACGTATATATGCATACATGGCTATGTCTACGTTCTTGCGCACTGTGACCTTCAGGATGATTCAGCCAAGAACGTGTTCTATATAACTACCCACTCGGAGTCGTAGTCAGCAATTAGGCACCACGTTTATACCTGGAGCTTTCGCCAAAGGAATGGCGAGAAGGCCTCGCAGAAACTATGTAAATAAAAGGCTCTCGCTTCCTTCAAACCTGGAGTATCTCATGGCACAACATCAGTACAGGGGATGAGTAAGCCTACTACTGCAGATATATTAGGAGCATTTTAGATCGTTAAAGTGTTCCGTTAGTAGACACTAGTGGAGATAGTGAAGAATGCAGACTTCCCTAATATTCGCAAGGGTCACTCGACAATAAATGAGGATAGGAAAAGTGCCAACAATATATGTGACTACGAGTCTGGATTATTATGGAATCCAAATCGGCAACGAACCCAGTTAAGCTGAGGCTGCAGTTATAATTACAATTTAACGTATTATTTACTGCCTATTCTTTTTAACGGCAGGGTATACATTGGGCTCCCTAGATCAATCACGTTGACGGGTGATTGCTGATGGCAAAAGATCGATAGAACTAGCTGAGAGACAGGCAAAACGAAGGACCCGGATGGTGTGGTGGTGAAGTGCGCTACTCCCCGGTAAGGACAATAGCGCGTTCGTTCCCTACCGCATACACCTGTGGTCCAGAGTTTTGCAAATATCTCAGCGTCATTGAAGTTATATTTCACAATGTATACCCTGCCGTTAAAAAGAATAGGCAGTAAATAATAAGTCAAATTATTATGGAACTGATATGCGATATATCAACGAATCGTGATAAAGGCTGTTTACCCAACTTGAATTTATAGTGTTACTACTTTTCTGCATCGTAGCTTGAGCACTTAAGAGCTGTCACAAAAACAAATCCAGCAGGAGGAAAACATTAAATAGAGAATCAAATAGTTCTAGTTTGAATTATTAACGAGTACATTTTTCTAGTAAGAAAATTTCCATTTTCAGAAGCTTCGTGGAAATGTGTTCTTCGAAGATGTACACTTTTCCTATCCTCAAAGACCACACCAACCAATTATGTGTGGTCTTCAATTTACTGTTAAAAAAGGTCAGACAGTCGCCATTGTCGGACCATCTGGATCTGGTAAGAGCACTGCGATATCGCTGTTGGAGCGTTTCTACGACACATCTGCTGGTACAGTGGTGAATTTCAAGTTTATTCTCTTAAATTGCGTTCTATACTATGGATCTATCGTACAAACACATTTTTAAGCTGGGGCGAAGACGGCTGTGAGGAAGGCGAAATCCGCCGAAACGTCAGCTTATTCGTGAATAAAGAATAATAACACCTCGCGTTTGCTCAACAAAAATACGAAGAATTACATTTTTAAGCGTCTCGATGGGCATGACATTCGTAAGCTATGCTTGAGTAATGCGCGGTCGCAGATTGCACTGGTGGGGCAAGAACCACGACTATTTGCGGGAACAATAAAGTGAGTATAAAGAAGAGTTCATGTCTACTTAAAGAAGATTTTTAAGAAAACAAGAAATTAAAAAGTGGGAGAAGACATACTGTATGTGCTGATAAATATAATCCGTTCTTATGAATCTATCAAAGCAATCACATCATGGATATCAAATACACAACTGGAAAGGCGCTCACTCAGAAGTCAGATTTCTTCACAGTTTTAAAGAAGCCTCTATTTCTTCCTCATCTTTCGAGCTATCAGAGTCTATTATGCAAAACTGGTAAGTGATAAGGACGAAAAAAAAATTTGCTGTCAATCGAAGATCACTTTATAACGACTGTAACTACTCATATTTTCGCCAAAATTCGTCGATAATCGAGAAATGAATTCGGGGAGATAAAAATAAAGTTAATGAAGTGCTTCGATCAGTCCCTCAAAACTTCGTAGTCTCGCTGGTGTTTGTTCAAACTGATACGTGGAATGCAAAGGAATATTATTTACATGTGAAAAAACGCACTCAAGCATGCTACGCATGAATATGTAATATGTGCATTGAATTACTTACCTGTATTCAATCTGGTGCACTACACACAGGCAGCAGATTCCTTGAATCGCCTTCAGTCCATATTTGATCCGCTTTCTACCTTTCTACGACGTGGTTGCGTACCACACTACTGATCTGTTCGATATCTTTTGCACTTTAGATCTTTTCAAGAATGGACTTAAAAAGAAACACTACCCTTTAATTGCAGAGAAAACATCTGCTTGGGACTGAAAGATGTTGCCGATAGCAAAGTTCGCGAAGCTATAGAAACAGCTAATGCATCGACATTCATCGGCACTCTCCCACAGGTTATTCAGTACTGTGCCTAGTGTCTTAGTTTCCAAATGAAATTTCGTCAAAAACTAATCGTTAGAAACTGTTATGAACAGCTTTTTGAAAATATGTTTCCATATAATCAAAACTGTGTTATATCTTTTTACTTTCTACCTACTATGATTTCGCGGCAGGGTACTAAGCGAAATACAACCACAACGTCGCTGAGATATTTGCAAAACTCTGGACCGCAGGTGTCTATGGTGGGGAACGAACGCGCTATTTTCCTTTCCGGGGAGTAACGCGTTCACCACCACACCATGAGGGTCCTTTGTTTCGCACGTCTCTCAGCTATTTCTATCGATCTTTTTGCCACAGCAATCACCCGTCAGCGGGGTTGATCTGGGGAGCGCAAATCGGCATAAAACCCAGTTAAGCTATGGCTGTAGTTGAAATCACAATGTTTAACGTTTTGTTTTCTGCCTTCTATAATTTTCATGGCAGGTTACTAAGCGAAATACAACCACAACGTTGCTGAGATATTTGCAAAACTCGAACAACTGTAATTGGTTTTCACCCGGTAATGAATGAAAATCTTCTGTTTTCGATTAACTAGTTGTTTTACTTTAATTGAGTTAGAGGAGTTGTTCATTTTAACGACTGATCCAAAAGTTTCCTTTTCTTTGTTTTTTTTCTACGGTTCCATGAAAGAACTGAAGTAATATAAAGTTCACAGGGAATCGACACAGAAGTTGGAGAAAAGGGGACGCAGCTCTCAGGTGGTCAGAAGCAGCGGATTGCAATTGCCAGGTTTGGGCCGAAGTTCGTGATGAATTTAATGATAAAATTAACTGGCAAGGTCGCTTTCAGAGCTATTGTTCGTGATCCAGTTATTCTTCTTTTGGATGAGGCGACAAGTGCGTTAGACGCCGAAAGTGAAAAGGTACGATTAACCACTTTTAGTTACGAAGTCTTCACGAAGTGCACCTTTATTCGCGAATGAAAACTTTAGCAGGTTTTGCTGTTAGACAAGATAAATCAGCAAACATGAGAAAAAATGATAGATGGGATTCTAAGACCTTGCTAGATGATGGAAAGTGACGACTCTCACACCCAGATGGGAACCTTGCTAAAAGAGACTACCTAGACAATAAATGTTTTTTCCTCACAACAGCCAATTCTATGCACAATTGAACGCGGATATGAGACTAGGGATAGGAATAACACACTCGACATCTATCCGCTATTCAAGATATTTGACAGAAAAGCTCTACATTGCTCGATTCTGCAGTGAGGATGATGGGTATTCCTCAGGAAGGTGTAGAGCTCTTTCACTGGTAGAGTAGAAATTATGCTTGTTTTTCGAAGATGACCACAAACCTCATCACACGCACTCTCTCAATCGCCCTACTACAGTCTTTTGCCGAATCGAGATAAAATCCGTATGCATGCAAATGTATCTACCAATTCATGTGAATAAATGGGAAATGTAAGTTAAGCCGGATCAGTAGAGAAGAATAGTTACCTTGTAAGTCCAACTGTCTTAGGCATGTAAATGGGCATTTTAGCCCGTATATGACAACATTGTCGTCACTTTCCAATGTGCCATATAGGCTCGTTCTTTACCACAAGAAAGATCTGTTGATTTTTGATTTCAATTTTCTAAAGGTTTGTGCCTTTTAAAGTAACTGAATGGAGATGGAAAGAAGTACGAGTAGCTCATTGGTTGTGATGCCGTCCAGTAGGCGCAATAACCTTTTCGTACCAGCACTTTACTGATCAAACTACATCTCTCCGGAGTCAAAAAATTAATAGCAGACTTCTTTGAGACGTCTTTTCCAATCTGGAAAAACTGGCCATTATTTAGGGCAACAGACACAAGAAAGATTAGGGACCTTCATGTAGCTACTTAACTCACACGCAAAATTCGAAGCCCCTTGAAGGTGATGGGTGTGAGAGAACGATTCGAGTGCAATTGCTGGGATCCGTACAATATATGGTGCCGCGTCGTGTAAAATAAAGTAGAAAAAATTTTAGCTGAGTAATCAAAGTGAGATACAATCACTATGATGCTGAGATATTTGCAGAACTTGAGCCCCACGCAACATTTAAACTCGTAATTAGCCTTTCCGAGGAATCACGCGTTAGAAACTGCACCATTGAGCCCTTTGAGCTCAGATCTGGCCAAAAGTCCGAGTTTTGCAATCATCTCAGCACAACAGTGATTGCATTTCACATCCTACATGAAGAATAATAAAAGGCAGTAAAGAAGGAGTAAAGTAAGATAGTCCTCAGCGAAGCAGTGAAAACTTTTCTTCATTATTATGTTCTGTTTTCGATAAACGGAGATCATATATTGTGCTAATCCTAGCAGTCCTTCATTTTATTCGTTTACTCGCATCCACCATTCACAAGGATCTTCGGATTTGCAAGAACATTTAGTGGCTTCGTGCCAACTTCGCTCTTTTTTAATAAATCTTTAAACTCTGGTGGGATAAATTCCTTCGAATCCTGTGACAGACGTTCTAGGACGCTCCCATGTCTCCATCACAGGCAGCTTTTTGAATCGGAAAGATTTACTCTCAGACAAATTCATTAAAAACTTCCGACGAACGGAATGAGAAGTTTGCTTGATTTTGAGGCTATTCGAAAAACCTTGCGCATAATAAAGAGCAGCAACACAACCATCGTGGCTACCTGCGCTCCAATACTGGCAATATATTATTAATTATAAGGTATCTCAGCACACCTTTATTTAGATTTTATCCCAGTCAATCTTTTGAACTTGTCTTCTTCATTTGTAAGAGATCTATCACTTAGACCGTACAAGAGGCACTCGAACGGGCACGAACTGGCAGAACATGCATTACAATTGCTCATCGCCTATCCGCTATTAAAAGTGCTGATCTCATATTATATGTGGAAAATGGAAAGCTGAGGTTGGTGCTGCACCAAGAGGAACTGAACTTATTTAATTGAATCATCATCTTAAAGATTGAATGCAATTATTGAAACAAATCATTGGGCAACATATGAAGGGTTCTAATAAAACAAATGAACACTTATTTTGGATTTTCAGGGAAAGTGGAACGCATTCAGAACTAATGAATAAAAGAGGACGATATTATCAACTTGTGCAGAAACAAAGCATTGCTTCATAAAATACCCATCTACAGTACGTCCGTCCTAGTGTGCAACGTGCTGTCCATGGTCGTCAAATAACTCTTGCTATAACAGTACATTTCACTGTGTTCTAGATTCCCACTGACATGGAGTTTTTCATACGACATTTATTTCAGAATGTCTACGTCTCTAGTGTACAATGAAAACGAAATCTGCCAAACGGCTAGCATTAGCTCACTTAGAACACGCCAATTTATTGATCAGCGCTAAGGTTCATTGAAAGTAGATTGGGAATAGTTTTGAGGTTCTTAAAAGCTATAAACCTCCCTTCATCAAGCTATAGAGTTATGATTCATGTTTATCACATATCGTACTCTCTTAATATATGGTAGTGTAGGAGGTAACCTTCAATGATATGCAGAAATATGATAACCGAAAGAGTAGAACATGACGATTTCATGCCTGTTTTTGTTTTTATTTTTGTCTTCCTTTTATGGTAAAGTTTTTTGCTCAAGACTGTTGTCTACCACTTTGCTACTAGAAGAGCATGAGTTGTAACAGAAGCAGAATTGTGGTACAAATCCATTTGTTTATTTAATTTTTCAGAGCAGTCTATAAATACTTTTAAAGGCATCACTTTCACCTGTCAGCAATCCAGAATTTCCAATTTATGATACTTCTTCAAAAAGCGAACAAAATTTTAACAACTACAATCACAAATTCGTCGTTTTCTTTCTCAGCAACGGCGAGGTCGTTAAACAGCCTTAAACGGCAGAGTCCCCTTCTTCAGAGCCGAAAGCTACGTTTGCGTTGTATGTGTGTTATTGTAGGGAAGTAAACGTATGCTGTTTAACAACCTCGCGATTGTTGAGAGAGAAAACGACGAATTTATAATCCAATGCCGAGGTTAATGGAAAGTCCATTCTGGGAACTGTAACAATCACAAGCCCATCTTCCATCGCCTGAAAATGCAACCAAGCAGCGTCGTAAAACTAAGGTGCATTGAAAATTACAATTAAATGGAACTGTTCCACAGGTTAATTTATTATCTTGATCAATTTATTTTTATTCATTCCACACAGCTCGACATCACATATTGTGCAGATCAAAGCACTTTCATGCGATTTGTTTTTTTGCATCTGAATGCCTGCGGCGGCGAACGAACGCACTATATCTTAGCATCAATATTTGGTGTTCTGAATTCCTATATGACATCAGAGATCCCCTCCTTGTTGCGTTCGCAAAATGTTATAAATTTCCTGAGTTTTTTTGAGCGGTTAAAAAATGTCGTATTAGTAGAAACTGGTTTTTTAAGGGAGAAGGCAGAGGGAACGCTTTCTTGAGAATGATAAATCGTCTTCCTCGCGATGATAAATTATTCATTATGGCAAGAAAGAAAATCTAAGTAATCGACTCTTTCTTGTTCTGGTGTTATTACTAGATTTTTGCTCTCTTATAGCTGCAATTCCACATAGTACCTCTTATGCATAAAAATGAATTGCGTTTTTTAGTTAGAAGTTTAGTTAGAAGAGATTGCAACAAAGATGAAGATAACACCAAAACTATCAAAAAGGATAGAGAAACACAACAAAATTGTTTTTTTTTGCTTGAAGGAAAGTCCGTATGTTTCTAGAAAAAGAATAGGATGTTCACTAGCAGCTCTTACTGATTCATATTTGCTCTAGCAGAAACCGTATAGAAAATAAGACAAAGGCAAGGCAGCCAGGGTTTATTTAACCTCTAGGTATACGATGTGCATTCAACCCCATGGGTGACATTGTAGAAGTGACTGAATCCATGTTTGGGTTACACAGCGACTTGTGGTGCTAACTAGTGTTTCAAGTGCCAACTCTGCCAACCCCGGAAGAACGGAAGGATTTATGAGCCTGAGGGGTGGAATCGAACCAAGGACCAATGACGTATGAGTTGTATGGGACCTTCCATCACGGCAATGAGTGTATGCCTAAAAGGCACACCTATATATAAAAATGGTTAAAAGAAGATATAGGTTAATCTAATGCAGTAGAGTAAAAAAAATCTTTAAATCTGTCTATGTCTCAACAAAGCATATAGTTACCATTAGATTGTGTTATGCATACTAGCACTCTCACCACTCTACGCGCTCAACCAAACCATGCAGTTTTCCTTGAAACTAGAATCCACTATCAGTATTGTGACAGCAGTGAAGGTTATCACAGACGTTTTTGGATTTCTTGAATACCGCTGACAGTTCTTTGAGATTATCTAGCGCGATAATCAGTCGTCGTAATTTGATGGTGGGTGACGTTTACTTCAATTCTCTCCTAATCTTTTATCCATAGACGTATCTTATCACAACACTGATCGAATGAAGACCTCAACTTTTTTTCTACAAATTTTTTCAAGGTTAAAACACACACAGAATAGTGGTTTATACCTAGAAAGATCCTTGCCTGCCGTCTAATAACTCTGGCATCTAGCACATTACGCACCTTACAAGCTGGATAGATGTGCAACCTAGGTGGATAGTCCGTCCTTAAAGTTGATGTATAAACGAGATTTTGCAAAACAAGAATGTTTTTTAGCAAAGAACTTCGTGAGACCCATTAACTAATTGTGCTTTAATTCATACGTTGTTTTTAGTTTTTTGCATATGTTTTAAAATGACACAACTTAAAATTACTCAAATTAGAATGTTTGAGAAGTGTTGAAGGTTCGCCAGCACAAATCTACTGAAATAATTCTTTGTATTCTTGTAGAGCAAACGTGAGGTGTTATTCTATTCTTTATTCAAGAACAAGCTGACGTTTCGGCGGATTTCGCCTTCCTCAAAGCCTGGAAAGGTCGAGTAGAGCGCAATCTATCCAGCCAAACACTTCCGTAACCTAACAAAGAAAATCTTAAACCTAGATTTCAATAACATTGAACACAGAACAGCTTCCTCGCACAATCATCGTTTTCTATGAGTCTTTCACTGAATATGTCACATGGAGACCAACCACACAGAGTTCACATGGAAGTGCAATGTGCTCCTTACATTAAAATAACAGTCTTAAATACTGCCCATTATCGTCGCAATTATGAGGCATTCCTTCCTTCTGTTCATCTTTCGATTTTTGATAAATGCTGAGGTTAATAGAAAGAAGGTCGTGGTACCTATCGAAATAATCCGATTCTAATGCATTTCCAGCTGCTTTTTCGCGAAATCCGGATCATAGAAGAGAGATAAGACAGATCAATCTCTAGTTAAGCGCCATAAAGGATAAAGGATAAAGCTTTTGGCGTTGATCAATCCCTGAAGGATGCGTCATGCATTCGACTTCATTAAGTACCGTTGATGATTAAATGCATATCTGGCCTTTACAATGACTAATGGCCTACCGATGCATCGAGCCAGTGCTACTCTCCTCCCAGACAAGTCTGGTATCAATTTTCCGACCTCGGAGGGATGGAAGGTTTGGTAGGCCATGGGCTCGGAGATCGATTCCAGCTGTGCGTTGCAGAGCGCCTGTGACCACTGTACAGCACGTGCCCATATTAAGCATCATAGATCCTTTAGGTGCAAAGAAATTCAAAAGATTTTTATCCAATTTGTTAACGTTCGTTCAGATATCCCTCCTCTTAAAAAAAGTTTGTGGATACAGTGCTTTCATTACGTAATCTTGGACTGCAACCCCAAAATAAGAACCCTGTATTGTTTTTTAGAATTTTTGTGGTCCTAGATAAGAGCACTTATAGGAAACTTGCTAAAGATGCTTATACTGTGCACCTGGTCATGTTCCCACGACTTCGACAAACAAACTCTCCGATCTTGGCAAGGTGGCAAATGACAGTGTTTTAAACAAATCAAGAAAAAAATATGTTCCGTGAAATTGGCATCTTTCGAGACTAAGCTCTAAGGATAAGTCGTATCTTCTACTCAACGGCAAGTTGAAAATTGCTCTTGCTTGTTTTTTTTGGAATTACAAATAGCCTTGCTATGGTGCCCTCATTTCTTCACAAGATGTAATTCTTGTGTATCCGAAGGACATTTGCTATATTGCTACTAGGATTCCTTCAGAATAGCAGCAATTCCTGTGGAGGCAGTGGAGAAATAAAATGCGTTCTTGCAGCAGGGTTTACCAATATGGGCCAAACGAAGGCTTAGAAGTCGGCAGATTACATGTAGCTCCGGAAGTTCTTGACCGAATGTCTTCTACGTTCGTACCATCTCAAAACAAATAAAGATGTCAGCCTAGCACTGCCACCTAAGATGGTACAGCCAAACGTATCGGTGGTGGATCACGCGACTACAGGCCTCGTCAGAATGAGGCCCGAACTTTAAAGAACCTACCTACCCTCAGCCATCCTCATTGTGTTGATTCAGTTTTTATTAGATCCCAACTGGACCAAGCCGTAGGGACTCGTAAGCAAGTTTTCGAGCAATACCACAGTGATCTTGGGTTTATTTACTGGAAGCAGCCTTGAACTGCGTACCATAGGATCTTCAATCAGTTGGCTTCAGCCTTTTTTACTACCTCTACTACTACTACGTCAAATGTGCAAGTCAGTTCGATGCATTTGTGACTGTGCATTTAAAAGCAACTTTTCAGAGGAAGTCTATAGGTGCCTTTGTTTGTGCAGCAGTTAGTACAGCCAAAGAACCTATGAGGGGATAATTTCGATAATGATAAATCACCGATTCGCTGTTCAGATTTGTTTTCTTCCTCTACTTAAAACCAGTTTATTTCGTATAAATACAATAATACGAAAGGTAGCAGCGATAATTATGACAAGAAATGATGATCGCTCTTGTCATTTCATTTCGCAGCAGCAATGAGGACGTGATGCGCCGTTTGTTAGCGGCGAATGAGATTCGTCACCAACCACAATGCGTATCACTCTCTCACTCGCTGTGAACATCAAACATTAGTCATCATGTCATTATTTGCCAAGTCTTATTTTTTAATCGATCATACGCGTGTTGTCTTATTTTATCAAAGTGAGATTATCATGCTTAAGTCCAACTAAGGATAAACCAATGCAAAGAATCAATCGAAACATAGTGTAGTGGCAAAGC